GCGGCCACAGTGTTTTGGGGAGGTTTCCTGCCGGAGGGGTGTGGGGCAGTTCTGTCACACATCAAGTGGGTGTCCCCTGCCCGGATTTGGATGATTTACGCACCTGTTTTTAGGCTCTCTTGCAGACTGTCGTGTGTTAGGCCGCTCCGGCAACCAAACCCTACGCAGTCACTCACTCACCCTCCCCCACCCCAGGGATGAGGGAGAGAATTAAAGGAGAAAACGGGAAACCCGTGGGTTGAGATAAGAACAATTTAATACAGATAAGTAATACACAGTGTAGATGCTCACCACCCCCTCTTATCCAAAGCTCATCTCGTCCCAAAGCTGCAATCCTGGATGAATGCGAGGCCCCAAAATAGAGAGAGAGAGAGAAAGCACTCTGAGAGTCCGAAAGTGAGAGTCCCGGAAGGGCAAAAGCCCTTCTTTCCGGCTGACCCTCACTTTTATACTGGGCATGACACTGCATGATATGGAATACTAATTGGCCAGTTTGGCCCTCAATCCTAAGTCCAAGTACAAATCGTAAGGAGAGTCGCGGACCCCCTGTCCTGGCTGTGCTTCCCCCTTATCCTGTTGTGCTCCTGCCTTATCCTGTTGTGCTCCAGCACACTGAAAAGTCCTTGGCCAACTACAAACATCAGCTTGCTATCAACATTCTTCTCAGAGCGAGCCTCTGAGTAAAACCAAAACACGGAGCTCTTGTAGCTGCTAAAAAGAAGAGCTAAGTCTGTCCCAGCTAAAGCCAGGACACAGTCACCGGAGGGAAACGGGCACTTCTCTCTGCTTATTGACTAATTAGAACAGAGCAGCCACTCAAGGCCTGCTGTGTGCCTTCCTCTCAGACCTGAGAGGCCTGGGTCGGTCATCATTGACACTGCAGGTGCATGTAGGGTGGGCACGTCAGGGGGAAAACGGTGGTTGAAAAGTAAGAGGATGTGGTCCATAAAAGTGGTGTAGAATGACACTGGTAGGAGCCAGGGTTTGTGCAGCAGCTAGTGGGGTGATGTTTGTCACCTGGCTTTGCATGCGTTCAAGGAGAGTCCAGAGAAGTTAGAGTCATAGAACCATAGAATGGTTTGGGTTGGAATGAACCTCAAAGATCACCTAGTTCCAACCCCCCTGCCATGGGCAGGGACACCCTCCACTACACCAGGTTGCCCAAAGCCTCATCCAGCCTGGCCTTGAACACTTCCAGGGATGGGGAAGTTCAGAAGACAAGTCTGTTGACCGCTACTACTTACTTAGAAGCCACATCTGATTCAGTAAATCCTTGAGATTAACTAGTCACAAGCTGGAGGATCTCCAGGCCTTCTGCTTCTGGCCACTTCTGTACACTTCTGAACACTGAGCTCAGTAGATACCAGGTTTGATGTGGTGCTGCTGCTTTGTAGATGCTCAGGACCAGGAGCTACCTGCTAAACTCGCTAAAACATTGAGTTACCCCAAGGTATACCTATGAGGGAAAGAACTTGGAGAGCTGTCTAGGCAGCTGCCTACAGCCCAGGTGAGGGACGCCACTTGGCCCACCATGGGGTTTTTTTGTTGGAGAGTTAAAGAGCAGGAGCTGGAACTCAGCAGCCGAAAACCTACTCCTTGGCTGGGAGAGGGGCATAGAGAGTGGGATACCTCTGTGTCCCACAGTGCTGACAGGAAAGGGAAGGATTTTTGTCAAAAATTGCCAGCATACGCCCTTCCATTTAGTGCATTGCTACTATTTCCTCTGCAGAAAACACCTAAAAAACAGAAAACACTTAAACTGGCAGCACACTTAGAACCTCTGCCTGTTTCAAAGACTATTGAGATCACCCAATAGACCTGACAATTTATTTCGAGCTGAACGGGGATATGAATAATGCCATGACGTTAAACAAGACTAGAATAACTGTAGAAACCCGGAAGACTACTAGACAGCTCTACATAATCATCTGCTTGAGCATCAGGTATTGTATGACATTATTGTTAAGTTGCCAAATCATCACTGTTTATGATGTAGACATTGCAAGGTGGCATTTCTTTCTTGGAGCCTCAGTGTTACCTCTTACGTGCTCAACCTCTGTAAAACTTCAAGGGAAAATCAAACAAAAAATGCTAAGGGTTTGAGCTTTGGTCCAGCTTGGAAAACAATGTGCTTTTAGCTGTAAAAAATGAAAATCTGTGATACAGCAGAGGTTAGGACCGGATAAATCAAACTCACATTTTATGTTTTCCACCCTAATCTTTCATGTCACAGGTTTGACTTGTTCAACAGTCCCCGTTCAGATTTAACAGGGAAGAGCTCTTAACTTATGTGAAAGTGTAACGAAACAAAAAGGCTGCAGAACAGTCCTTGGAGGAGGATTTAAGCGGGTAAGTACATTACAGAGAAATCAGAAGATGGTCCCATGGAAAGGAAGGAAACACAGTCATGTGTTACAGTAGAGGCACCTGCTGAGACGAGAACAGAGGAGAAAGCTGCAGTTACACAATGAAATGACGGAGTTTGACGTTCAGCGCTTTTCTTTAGTCTGCAAATCTGCGCTGTGCTTTCTGTAAGCATCAAACTGCAGCAAGAGTTTGTTGTATGCCTGCTTGCTGCTTTCGAGCTGTCGTTGGAGCTCATGGTCCTTCGGATCATTGGCTGGAAAAAAAAATCCACGAGGCACTTTTCTGCTCTCTGCCGGGCTTTTTCCACCATCTCCAGCTTCTCCACGAGCTGCTGAATTTCCCGTTGCTTGTCTTGCAGAGCTTTGTCCCTCTCCATGGCCAGGTTCAGTAGCTGCTCTTTCTCCTAGTTCGCCTTCTCCAGCTTGGCCTGCAGCTCCCTGCCCTGAGCCTTCTGCTGACTTTCTGCATGCTCTACCTGAGCAGCCGTGTGTTGGTGCTGCTTCTGTAGGCGTTGCAGCTGTTTTTTCAGTGAATCGACTTCCCGGGCGTCAGCACTTGCTTGCTGGCTCTGAGCTTCTGGCAGCTGCTTTTCTCGCTCCTGGGCTCTGCGGCTGTCATAAGTATGTTTCTCCTGGAAGGAGTCTAACTGCTGCCAGAGCTTCCTGGCCTGGGCAGCGAGCCGGAGCACTTGGGCTTCCTTCTCTCTGCATTCTGGCTGAAGAGCGCTTCGTTCTGCTGCCGCAGGCGCTTATTCTCCTCCCACAGCTGCATATGCCATTACCTGTGTTTGTTCTTGAACTGGATCGTTTTTTCATGGTTGTTGGCCAGATCCATGAAGCGCCTCTCCAAGTGCTGAATCCCTTGGGTCTGGGCTGTCACTTTCACAGCATCCTCTGTCCTCAGTTTCTCCAGCTCCATGTTGAGCTGCTCCAGGCTTTGGCAGCGTTTGTGTGCATCGTCTGATTTTTTTCTTCAGTATACAGTAAGGTGATGCTGCTGTTCTAGGCGTGACTGTAGCAGAGCCTTCTCACTCTTCTCTTCAGGGCTCTTGCAGAGTTCCTCCAGGCCTTTTGTCAGATCTTCCATGTCTTTTCCCGGCTCTGGGTCACTTGTGGGGTTGGCCATCCCTGCCTCTCTCTCATCCTGAGCCACGGAGCCCCTGTCTCACACAAAGACGAGACAAAATTCTATAGTGACCACTTCTCTTGGTGACATTCAGCACAATTAAATATTCCCCAACGGTTGTGTTGACTGTGCTAGGCTGGTGGAGTATCTATGGAAGTCCAGAGACACCGGTGTGGTGGGACAGGACCTCCCGAAACCAACGGCAGCCTGCAACTGTGTGGTCCTGCAGCCCTTCTTGCAGCTTCGAGTGATGAGAAGGGTGCCAGGCTCGATGATGCAAAAGCATCATCAAAAGAATGTAGGCCTAGTATTTATGCAAGCCTATTCATTTGCTGATTAGTAGCTTTGCTAATTATTCCTTCTCAAAGCGCTGTTGTTGCAGCTACAAGAAGTACTATTATATTTAGGGAAAAAGCTTGTAAGTGATAAAGCTGTAAATAATTCCCTGAGCAATCCTTTTCCTCTGCCTTTATTTTCTCCTACAAATTTGGAACTATAAATGCAAGTAAAACGTGGAGGGTTACATCAAACTTCTAATTGATTTCTAACATTTTAATAGTATATTGCTCATTAAAAATAGCTGAGTAGCCTCATCCTGTGCTTAGAGATTTATGAGTAAAATAAAAGATCTAAACAACGCTAATAATTACTGAATGCCCTGTGATACAAAGACTTGGTGCCTGGAGAAGTGGTTCATGATGTGAGTTTTGACACCGATTTGCTGGATTATTTTCAGCGTGTAGTTGTAAAAGCCTGGTTCCTCGTGTGGAAATAAGGGAAATGTTTGTATTACAGTGGCACCAAGTTCACTACTGGTGCCTCCTCATGTGGGATGCTACCCAGACGCGCGAAGGGTCAGCCTAAAACTGATCCGTGAGTTTTCCATTCAGGCGCAGACCTGAAACTACACAGCTCATGAAACAGCGTGCCGAGAATCGGGTGTGATGAATCCCTGGGCTTTGATGGGAGGTGAAGGTAGGACATGGGAAGGAGACAGCTTACAGGAAGGACAAATAATAACGTACAGCCAAAAGGAATTAACACTGGTGAAGCATGGACAGTTTCAGAGCTGTGACCGTTGGTAGGGACGCTACGGCTGTCTCCACCGTCCTGTGCTCCCCCACCACTGCTGCTACCTTGGATCCTGCCAAAATGTTTGGAAATAATGGAGGAGACGGGGAACGACTGAAAGGTGTAGGCTGTCCAGTGGAAACACAATGAAGAGCAGCGTTGAAGAGGAGAAAAATGTTTTCTTACCAGGTGTTTTCTTTCCTTGACTGTTCGTTACCACTCCTGCTATGGGGTTTCTGCTTCCGAGGAGGTAAGAGGCTGAATCCAGTCACGCCAGAGCTCATGCCTTCAGCTGGGCTGGGTGGAACTGGGCCAGCCCCACGAGAGCTGCCAAAAGAGCTGAGAGTGCTTCTTAGCAAACAAATGCTGCCGACAGTCTCAAAAGCACCCAGATTTGGGAAAAGGAAGAGGATTTCCACAAGTCTGAAGAACTCCTCTCTCTCAGCTCACGCCTTGCACGTGCCAGAGGAGATCACAAGGGTGGACTCCGACCTTCTCAGAACATGCTGAACGTCCACGGTAAGTAGAGACACAGCCCTTGCCCTGAACAGCTTGCAACTTTATTCAGCAGTTAATGAAAAATCTGGCAGATATGATAGGGAAGGGAAAAACCAATGTAGCAGGAAGGAAAAAGTCAGGTGCAGGTTGTGCTGACTCCCCTGGAAAAGGACAGGAAGCAAAGAGGAGTGAGTGATGTGGGGAAAGGATATGAAGCAAACAAGGTGAGGATGCAGCACCAGCACCAGGTGAAATCAGATGTGGGTTCTCGGTTTTGCAGGGTGACTTGCAGAAAGGGGAGGGAGGAAAAGGAGCGGGAGGTTTCTGAACACAGACCATAAAAGGGGAGCTGGGACTGTGAAGCACCTGGTTTATAGGAGGTGAAGATGGTGTCATTTAGAACACACACGCACAATCCGAAAATAAACCCATTCCGGGCTAATGCAAAGATGAGCTTGTAAAGTGACGGAGGGGAAGGGAAAAACGTGTTGTTTCCCCTGTGTAGGCAAGGATGGATACACACAGGTATTCCTGGTGTGAGGCTGCTTAGTCGTAACTTGAACTGAAATTAAGAGTGAATTTCTTGAACTGCCCTTGAGTGAGTGACCAACTATGCACCTTTAAAGTCTGGGTCATGGATGACTAAACCTTTTCCTTTTGACTGTAGAGCAGAGAAACTAGTTCCTTGAAACTTTTTGTCCTGATCAACCGCATAAACTTACATTTCTCCGTCAATGTGTTATTGATCTGGAACATACTACTGTAGTTAGGAATGACTATAAATTTGGGGGAAAGCTGTATCTATTGTGTGAACCACATTCAGAGGAATATCAAAAAATACGAATAATTTTTTTTTTAAAAGCACATTTTGCATTCCTGGAGTCCTGCTGGTTTACATGATTAGATGCAGCTATTACCTTCAAGCACCTTTAATAAACCAACACAATATCCTTTAGCAGGAGGCAAGATGTGATGTTTCTACTCTAAAATGAAATCCTACAACATGCATAGCGCAATCAAAGTAGGGTTTTTTTGGTTTGTAATCTTCCCTTCCACTAAAGCTTATCCCACCAGGACAGCTTTGACTTTTCATGTGTATGACAAAAAGTAAACCAGCACAAAGATAAGCGCAGCTGCCAAAGCTCTGTTGAAGATCTTTAACAGAAAGATCTATAGATCTTTATGCAGACTCTATTGCAGACTAACGGCAACAACGATAAATTTAAAACATCCAGCGTTGTTAAGCGCTACTGCACTTTTCAAAGGCGCTGCTGTGACTGCCTCTGCTGACCGTCTGCACTTTTGGAAGCATGAGGAAGACTCACTTTTGTGCATGGTGACACCCATCCTTACCTGTGATCTCCATTTTCTGCACATGCTGACACAAGATATTAAAAACTGGGGAGAAGCACTGAATTTTTGTACTAAAGTGCCTGTTTCTGTAACTTGGCTCAGTTACTTGGTTAATCTAGATGAGTACATAATGCTGCTGTGTCATTAGTTAATCACACTAATTAATTACAGGTGCAGGACATAAGTAAATCTTATGTTCGTGTTCGGGTAGCTTTTCAAAATTTAGACTAAGTTTTGATCTATTTAGTATAGTGGCAAGTGGTGTCTTTTGAGATAATGACAAAATTCCGTGTCTGTCTCCAGGACGGTTCAAGACTCGTGAGACAGAAGATGTTCCACTTGACCAAAAGACAAGGAGATTGACACTGTCACAAACCAAACATTTTATTTTGATGTTGCTCAAGTTTAACTATCGCAATTTTGTACAGTGTAGGACACAGCAGATTACACGACGTTTGCTGCCAATCTCGAGCCTCAATACGCGGTCCCTACAAGCCGAAGTCCTAAAGCTGTTCTGACAGAGCTTCACAGGCAACACAACAACAACAAAACCCTTCATCCTGTGAAATTGTAGGTCGTGTTCGCAGCAACCTATGTTTTCAGGTGAAAAGGAATTCGTGTAGGTGGAGAATTCAAATAAACTAGGTGCCTCTCTGCTTTTCCAGAATCACCACCTTTTTAGGAGTGGCTATTTAAGAATCCAGAAGCAAAGTGGCTGCTGTACTGTTGAAGTACAGACAGGTTATTCCGAGGTGTCACACGCACGCTGTTCCCCAGTCATACAAGAACAATGTTTTGTATGTATTTGGCAAAGCGGAATTGCAGCAGCTACCAACCTCATCCAAAACCGCCGAAGCAGTGAGGTATCCAGAATGACAACTCCATTTGGCATTTGTAAACTCCAGACTGCCTGGTTGATGAGAGAAGTGGGTTCCCCAACAGCTTGAGTAAGACCTTTCCTTTTTTCTGTTCATAGTGTGTAATAAATACCAAGTAGCATTTAAATTTCTATGATTAAATTAAGCAACTGAGTTGGAGCTGAGAAGAGCCCCCTTCTCCTCTCGACTCCGAGGTGCTTTTAGACCTACGCAGTTGGAGCAAATAGATTTGTATTTGTTCTCAAAAATGTGTTCTGTCTGCGTTCTGTTACCTTGTATGCTGAATCGCTAACATGAGACACTGGGTTTTAATGAACATCAAATTCCTATTTAGCTTTAATAGGCTGCTTTTATTAAAAAAAAACAAACAATACAATTTGTATTTTATGCATTTATCTTTCTTTAGTAGCATGCATTTCTAAAAGTTACGAGTTCCAGACCTATTTCTTATGCTGCAAAGCTGTCGACACCAAGACGGCCACAATCCCAGCATTCTCCTAACGGTGGCACTGAAGGACAGATGAATTACTTTTTGCAAAAAAAAAACAAGCTACTGGATACAGGTACAGATGAATGCACTTTACAGAATAAATACCCAACGTGTTTGTCGTCACTAAAATTGGCAGGTTTAGGTCCTTTAGAGTAGCAACGGAGTTAAAAAAGTTTGACCTCTACGCCTTCAGCCTTTAAGAGTATAAGGTTTGGATACTAGCGAGACTATTAACACATACATAAGCCAACTTTTTATAATCCTGATTTTTTTATAGTACATTGGAATGAACAGTCCCCTGCACCTTGCAGAATAGGACATCAACAGTACCATGTCATGTAATGCCTCTTTCCTTATAGAAGTGACTTTCATATCCTAGAAATGTACAATTACAGATAAAGGAACTTTCAAAAAAACCAAAAGGAACTTAAAAAAAAAATTAATCCTTCTCATATTCCGTGCTGGAGAGATCTTACATGGCATAATGAAGACACAGACACATGCTAACAAGCATGAACAAAATGCAACCTGTTGCTGTCTTATTAATAACACTTCATGAACAATCCTAGAAGTGTACAGAAAGAGTTGACTCGCTTTTACTTTTTTTTTCTAGTAATTTAGGTTATTTAAGAGATCAGCAACACAAGCATCCAGGTATCACAGCTGCCTCTACCACTGAATTCCGTTAAGTGCCTTCTCGAAATTTCCAGTGAGTAGGAAATAAAAGAATCCCTTAAATTTTCATAACAATTTGCAGGTAGAAGTTAAATTTGAAATAGGAAGTGACATTTGGCAGCACAAAACCAGAACAGCAACGGAGCAGAGACTGTCAAAAGACTGACTGTTCCTCTTCCCAGTTTCACCCCTACACCTTTAATGTCATTCCCAAGGTTTCTTTTTGACACTGGCAATTAAAAAGCCACCTCATTTTGTCAGTTTTGCAACCATTAGCATCCTGAGGGGCAGCGTATCTTCTATCCATGTGTTTGGCGAGTTCATCATCTTCTCCCAAAGGGCAGTTTCATCCGAAGTAGAATCCATCCAGTCTACTGTAGTTCCATAGCTTTTGCCTAGAAAAACGTCAGTTTTAAGAGAGATGTCACTTAATACGCTGCGGAGTTGAGAGGCGATCGGATTTGCCTGTCTTCTGAAGCAGTTTCACCTCCTCAGGCAGCCGACCTACTGCTTTGAAGATCCAGTTCTACATTTTCACACTCAAACAATTCTGTCAAATACAACTAACGGCAGCTTCACACGGAAACTGCGTCATCTTTCTCCAGGCTTTTTTCCTTGTTATCCCTAGTCTTTTTGTCACAGTTATAAGAAGAAAGATGTGTGGGTGATTAACATGCAAGATGGGTTAAAATAAAACAGGAAACTGATTTTGTACTGAAGTACAACCTTGGGTGCTTTAAAATTCAAATTGAGATTTACTATCCTAATTTGTATTTTAGACTATTCTGGTGAACCATGCCACAATTTGAGAAAAGTAATTTTTTTCTTCTATTTGCTTAAAAAGACTCCAAACATCCTTCCCTCAGAGCGGAGAAGACAATAAACGGAACAAATGTAACGACAGGGAAAACATGCAGTTATTTTATCTGCACATCTTATGTTGCTCTTATGCTAAGAACTTGTTGGCATTTAGAAGTTTTCCTGTTCGATGTCTTCAAACCTTATCATGCATTCCTGACCTGTCCTTTCATCTCCACTCAATACTGTCTTTACACCACATACAAACTTCCCTCCTTTTGGCATGTGTAAGACGTTACCAAGATTTTGGGTGCAGGAATAGAATGTTCTTGTACTTCAAAGAGTAGCAGATAGAACATATGGGCAGACAGGGGTGTATTTCTAAAATTCCTCCTCACTTGTCAGTCATTCTAACCCTCACACCACCACTATTGTTTACATTTCAGGATCCGAAATGTAAATGAGGAATAGGGAAGTTACTCAATGAAACTTGACAGTAAGTAAAGAACTGAAAGGCTGGTCCATGATCTTTGCAAAAAGAGAAGATATGAAAAGGAAGAGGGAAAAAAAGGAAAGCCAGTATTTTGTAAATGAAGGATTAATGTGCTAATTGTCCAGTACCTGTTCCAAGGCCTATCCTGAGACCTCCCAGGAAGTGGTTGGCCAGTTTGTTGTGGTCCCAGACTGTGAGTTCTATGCAGGCTTCTTTCAAATCTTCTGGCCTGAAGCCATCATAAACCATGGTGTGGTTGAATACCGGATTTGTAGTTTTTGCCACTGTTCTTGTTTTCTGGCGGCTTTTCCTGCTGGTATCTGGAAGAACGGTGCTTCAGAAAGAGGAAGCATTGTCAGTTGGCCCTTGCGCAGCACAGCCTGCAAACACTCTGATCAGACAGAACCTACTGATTAACACAGTCCTTTGCGTGTTAGAACGTGACTGAAGATACTTTGGCATCACGGAGATGAAATCAAAGGTCATATTCTCAGCCCCTTCCAAGAAATACTGACAGCATGTATCCACACTTGTGCTTCAGAGGATGGAAGGGATGGATGGGGAAGTCAGATGCGCAAGAGGCACAGGTGTATTTGCTGTATCGTCACTAATGATGCTGAAACCTTTTTGTTGCTGCCAGAGACTTCTCAACCATCTTGTTATTCTTGTCTCTTTAAATTTTTAGTTTGTTTGTGGAAAGGAGGGAGGAAGAAATATAACTGCTTCTCGCTTCTATCTCCTCCCACAATTTGCTAAGTTAAACCATACTCTGGCACAAACTTGCTTTGTTTAAATGCAAATAAAAGCAGGCACAATTTTGACTATCCCTTCCACCAGGCAGCAGAGCAGACAACAATGAAAGAGTAGCGATTACACAGGAAGTTCTCCCAGTATGTTTTACTTGCTGGTATATACTTAGCATCTTGGAGTTGTAAGCCCTGCAGGACAATTTCCATTACAATAAAGGAGAATCAGAAAGTAATTAGGTGGTTTTTAATTTGAATGTATGTAGAAAAAGTGAAGATAAGGTTAGAAAGCACAACAGTAGCATTGTTAGACCGTGAGGTTTGACAACTTCAACCATGGTTCTTACCACTTAATAAAGGAGTTGAGCCTGTTGCCTCTCAGAAGAGGAAGGTCATGACATTCCTTCACCCAGATGTGGACCTCACCAGTAGATAGAGTCTTCTTTCCTGTAAAAATAAAACAAAACATCTGATTAAGCCTTGTAGAGCCATTTTAAAGGTAATTTCTACGATGCAGCAGTTTCTGCCCATTTGCAGAGGTGATATTCGGCCTAGACTCTCATTATCTCACATCTTAATTCAGCATTCCCCTCTGTACCCTTGAAGCTGCAATCTTGATCCCATTGAAGTACTGCAAGATCATGTCACGTCTGTATCCCCACAATGGCTTCTCCTCTGGTACAACTAAACAAACATGTGCTACTTGTCTTCTGTCTCCAAGCCCCCTAGATAAAGAGATCAGCTTGTCTCCAGTCTGTGTGATGGTAGCATTCATTGCTGCTTGAACTTTCAAACAAGCTCCCTGGTGCTCTGAATACATTTGATTCTTGTTGACTGACTCAAGTCAGTCAATTGAAGTTGTGGCTGCCCCATCCCTGGAAGTGTTCAAGGCCAGGTTGGATGAGGCTTTGAGCAACCTGGTGTAGTGGAAGGTGTCCCTGCCATGGCAGGGGGGTTGGAACTAGATGATCTTTGAGGTCCCTTCCAACCCAAACTGTTCCGTGATTCTATGACTGGCTGGATTAAACACCCGACCTGGCTCCACTTTCTGATCAGCTGGTTATCGGTTGCCAGACAAGGTTAAACCAAACAGATCGTACTGCTACAAACTGCTGCATTCTAAATACTTATTGCTGTTTTCTGCTTCTAACATTGCTTGCATTTAGTGTGTTGTCATTGTTTATTTAGTAAATCACAGAACCTGCCTGATACTTTCTAAAATTATTAGTGAGAAAACAGAATTTTGTTACACATACAGACTGCATTACACATCTAAGGTTATAATAATGAGTTAATTTCTTCCGTAGTAACATTAAAACCAAAAGATCCTAAAGTGATCTTTGGATCCTAAACTGAATTCATGGCCAGGGTGACATAATCCTCTAGAAAAAGAAATAAATTCTTTTGCATTAAAACAAGACGTCTGAATTGCTTGAAAAACATTACACAGGGTTATTTTTTTTTTAAAAAAAGGAGAACAAAAATCCCAAAGGCCTGACGAGCCCAAAGAAAGCTGCAGTGCCTACCTCCAACAGGGCGCGGGACATACTGGAGGGCTAGTTTCATCTCCCCTCTGTTTTCTAATTCGAGAGCCATAGCCGAAGTCTGAAATTTAAGGAAAAAAGTGCCACAAATCGCAAACCTTGCAGTTCACACACAGAGTTTACCATGCAAAGTTTTCCGCTGGAACAAGCTTGACTTCTACATGAGGCAAGTTTTTTTTTTTTTTTTCCTTGTTTCCTTGTGCTTCAGTCTTCCCTCAGTTTACAGGCCATGAGAGAGTTTAGGGCAAGTTTGACCACTTGGCAACACCTCAGATATGCAGCTCTTCCACTGAAGTGGAAAACAAGACCCAGGAGAGGCCAAAAGGCTTTGAGGGCGCATCTTTTCCACTGCTGTGCATTTATTTAAAACTAGAACATATGTTCTTTCAATCGCAAACTTTGTGCAACAGAAAGTGCACTGTTAAAAACTCATTTCTGTAGGAATGTCTTCATCTAAAAATTAGCCTCAACAAGAGTTATCTTGCAAAAAGGCACAAGAATACGTCACTTCTTCAGAGAGAGCCACGGACCATCTGTAGGTGGAACGTGGCACCTGTTAACATTTGGTTACATTTATCTACCAAGAGCAGTTTTAAAATCAGTCAAATTAAACTAGTGCTGAAGACTACCATGATATTTCTGTTTTGTTCTACAAATTATAAAACTTTGGATTGAGCTAATTTTGGAATGAACTTATGAAGGAAGTTCAAAAAAAAAAAAAAAAGATGGGGGGGAAAAAAAAAAAAAACAACAACAACTGAAGAAACCAGAACCTCTGACAGTAGCTTAGCTAAAAGTTTAGATTCTGGCTGAAAACCATTAAGAAACAAGAATAACACAGGCATGGAAGTCATCATTACATCTGATATTCAAACGTAGCTGCACTTTCTCCATATTCTCAGTAGGTTTACTTCACATTTGAGGAACAAGTGTCCTCAGGTATCTGTTGCAGCAACATGATGTAAGTGAAAAATACCTTGAAATTCCTGCTCCTTAGACTATGAGGAAGTTTTTCTTACTCTACTAGCTAGCTACTTACTAGACTAATAGAGACCTCAGAACTGTATGTTCCACTTACCAGTAAAAAGGTATTTATAATCGATACAAAAACCACAGAACACACAAGACTAGGCCTAAATAAATAATGACTTGCCTTTGCACTTACACACAGTGGAAAACACAAAACAGCTAACCCAGCCTTAGTAACCTACCCTTGGCTTGAGTGGAAACCAGTTGATCTGCCTGTTGGATTTATCATTCCAGTCCCAGGTTCCCAAATCCAGCTCCACTTCGCCAAGGAAGCTATTCCTCCCAAAGGTGTCATTGTGCCAGACAGAGATATTAAGGCTTTGGGTTTTTAGGAGACCTTTTTCAATTTTATACTGCCAGAAGGAAGAAATGAGAGAAAAGTTAAACCAAGATGGATTTTCATCAATGCTATGTTTGAAAGTGATAAGGTTGGAGAAAAACATGTCTGGGTTTATACATCTGTAACTGCTCACTTCTTCATTCCAGAACAAAACTCTCCATGTTTTACTTTTTATTTCAAGCATCTTAAGTTCATACTTCTGTTTGTTTGCAAGAGGTATACAGCAATCAGTGTTCTCACTGCTGTCTCTAGAGTACACGGCAGAGTTAACCTATCAATGGAAGGACACAGGTTCTTCAGAGCAATCCATCTCATCCCAACACAGATGTCTCTCCTGATAGCACGTGGACCTGTGCCTCAAAGTGAAGGTTCCTTATACTTCCTGCGTGCTGTATTTCATATCTAGCAATAGTTTGATAAATACCCGCAATATTTCATTATAGACTGGATTCAAAGTTTTCTTTTTCACAGAGGTCTTCCGTTTGCCCAGCTTGTATTTCTCTGGAAGCAGGTAGGTCTTTACATACCTGAAATGTAAACAGGCTGGTAAGAAGAGAAAGGAAACACTCATTCCAACTTCCCCTTTCAAAATACACAAATATTTGTTAATAAAGTAAAAGAAATCCACTGAACTAGCCATTACATTGTTCAGCTTGTTACATTTAAGAAACGGAACAAAAGTAGTGAAGTATAATAATAGGTCCCAAAGTGGGACATTAACCTCCTTCTGCCGGGGGGAAATCTGTTGAAATGTCTCCTCAACACATACAAATACAGAATATTTGACTATAGTAAGCCTAGATATAATTTGTAGGCTTTAATCCCATTGAAAACTTATCA